TGATTATAAAAGACAGGATATTCCTAAGCTCAGGGCTGTTCTGCTACAACACAACCTTCCCTGTGTCCAGGCACCCATTCCCATCAGCACCCGTGGACTCTGGGGACCAGGGGAACTAATTTAAGTATGCCGATGCTCCTGCTCCTTGCTGTGCTGCCAAGAACAATGTCTTTAGTCTCTGAACTGCAAGTTTCTCATCTACCTATGGGCAAAACTGTGGCAGGCTGACTGTGCGTGCAGGTAATGTAGTCCCTTGGCAACACTTGCTGTCACCTCTATTGTGACAGTCACCAGTGGGTTAATGCTGTTGTGTCTTGTCACACATGATTTTAACTTACTTTTTTTTTCCTTCCTGTTTTGCAATGCTGGAGATGGAACCCAGGACTTCACAAATGCTAGGCATGCACTCTGTCACTGAACAACATCTTCATCCTCTGATTTACAGTTTCAGTTAAATGTGCAAGGTCAAACAAAATAATAAAGAAATGACTTAAATACTAATCTGCCCTTCTTGTTTCTAGTAAGTGCCTCTTTGGAGTGACCACACAATGAAAAAGCTGAATTTACGGTTAGTAGGTATATTTCCATGTGCATCTCATGGGCAGGCCACTTTGCCACACTGTGAATGTAACTCTGAAATCCAAAGATGCTTCTTTATTTTATTTTTTTAAGTCATACAACAGGATCTCTAAGTTGAAATCACCCACTACTTCTGGTGGTCAGCCAAAGAAAGGGCTATCAGATGCGTTGTCATAGAAAAACCAAGGACATAGTCTTCAGTTTTTCTTAGAAATTTTCAACTGTGCTTTTTTATCTTCTATGATTTTCCTGTTTGTTATGGGACAACTTTCACTTATCTTGGTGTCAAATACGATGCCTGCAGAGGATCATATTTTTGGAGAGTCAGTATAAAGTGCAGGAGGATGGCGAGGTACTCTTGGATAGAATATTTATTTTACACTTGGATATAGCAGTATTTATCCTTGTGTTGATGCATCACTTCCTTCTTTAGTAGTTGTAAACTGAACTCCTTTTTCATATCCAGAGACCAGAGTGTCTCATGCACTCGTTTAACTGTCTTGTCAACCTGCTGAATTTTGAAGCGTATCAGCTATCATTTCTTGTTTGGCTAGTGTTTTTATTCTTTACTATTTGTTTATTTTTTTACTTAATAGTGAACCCCTGTGAGTTAATGAACTGCATTTTGAAATATTCCTGTTTTTTAAATTAGGCAGCACATAAATATTTTTATGGAAGGAGGGGACAGTGAGGGGGAGGGGTAAAAAGGAGAGAGGGGAAAAAATTTGCAACCCAAGATAAGCTCATGAACCCCAAATTGAGAACATATGAGGAAAAATAGCCAGCAAAATTAAGACTATAGAACCAATAATAAGGAGATGAAATAATTTGGTTTTAATAAGTACAATAGATCTGAAATGACTAATTGTTTAGGTCCTGGAAAGGGTTACAGTCTAAAATAGTGGATTTTTTACAAAAGAAATTATGTAAAAATATATAAAACAGAAGTGAAACAAGACCAGGTAGATATGACAAAGATTCAGTACCTAGGGGATCCCATGCACCTCCCCTAGGCACTGGTCACTCCTGTGTCAGCTATGTTATCCAGCTAACTGTGGGCTGTGTTGTTCCTGCCTCAGCCCTCTGAGAACATCTCATTGTGGGATTGGGAAGTAGAGTAAAGGAGGTGGGAGCAGTTTAAGCTCTGGAACCTTCCACTCTCACCCCCAAAACCTTAATGGGCTGATTCCTTCCACTTGTGGAAGCAGAATGGGGCAGAACAGATCAGTTATGTCTGCTGCTGGAACAGATACCCTGAGATGGCCAAGTCCCCTGTTTCCTTCAGGCATGGGCCATCTCCACTGGTGATGTGGGGCACCTCTCTTAACTCTAGAGGGGGATACAAGCTCCTGTAGAGAGAACAGAAGGAGGGTTCCCCCCGCCACACTGAATTTCCACTGCGGAGTGCTGGTGGTGTGTGCCCATGGGCGTGCACATCTATGATTGAGGGAATGGGCTGGAAACCAGTGGAGTAGAGGTGGGGAGGTGGGGGTGGACTCTGGAACAATAGATCTTGAACACTAAATCAGACCCTGTGCTAGAAAGTACCTGGCAGCTCTTTCAGTGTGAAATGTAGACTCCTCAGGGACTTTAGTTTTCAGGTCTGGCAACAGTAGTAGTTCTAGGATAACAGTAACGATTCCTCCTATTACCTATTTTACAAGCTTATGTATCTATTTTACTCTCCTTTTATGGTTTCAGAAGTGTTGGCATACTATTTAGTTTCTCATTTCTTGCTTTTTTCACTTAAAGCATTTCTTAGGATTTGCTTTGTAATAGGACATCTACATGGCACTCCTTTTAAGTGGTCAAATAATATTCCAGATATGAGTGTACTACAATTTAGCATAACAGTTCCTGGGTAATAGATACTTTGTTTGCCTCTAGCCTTTGGCCATTACAAACTGTACAATCTTAAAGAAAACTGACTCTCGCGCTCCCAGGAGTTATAGGTTGCTAATAGTTCTTCAGCTAAGGTTGGGGCTTCTTCCAGGCTTCTATGCTGGAATTTTGTCTGGTTTGAGCTTGCGAGGGTCTTATGCATGCTGTTGCCATTGTTGTGAGTTCATATGAATAACTACCCAGCTGTCTGGAAAATGCTGAGAAACAGCTATTTAAAAGCGTTAACTGGAAAAGTTGATGGATGTTTGGCAGGACAGTCCTTGATTCTGCTGTAATCAAATTACCCTTGGTCTCTCTTAACTTTAGGAAAGTTAAGGCTTGTCACAAGAATTGATATTTGTATATCTGTAATTTCTTTGCTTAGCAGGGGATTGGCAGTCTGTGCACACAATGTTTCTGTTCAAAGCTGATTCAGAATGATGGCTTAAGCAACAACTCAGGATCTACAGTGAAGCTGGCTACGGTATTACAAGGACAGCTAACAAGGAGCTGTGGGGTGGTGCTTGGGAATAGGAACTCTGAAGTCATTTGACCAAGCTCACTGGCAATTTTTACTTATATGACTTTAGGCTTATATGACATTCCACTTTTCATCCAAAAAATTGGTGAATACAGCAATGACTTCATAGGGATGGTTTAGAAATTTAATAATATGCGTGATTTTTGGACAGCTTCTGGTACTATTAATGCTCAATAACACCAAAAAATTTCACTTTAGGTAAGATACACAGATACTTTCTGGCTAGGCATGAAATTATACCCAGGCAAATACCCATAACTGATTTTCAGCTTTTTTTTTTTTTTTTTTTGGTCTTTTGAAACAGGCTCTCCCTGCAGCCCCAGCTGGCTTGGAACTCACTTTGTAGACCAGACTGGCCTTGAACTCACAGAGATCCACCTGCCTCTGCCTCCGAAGAGCTGAGACTACAGGCATGCACCACCACACCCTGTCTTCAGCTTTCTTTTTTATCACATGCAGTTTGTTTATTCAGACCCTGGTATGTACTAGGCAAATATTCTACTATTGCCTAGAAATTTTCTTCATTTCAAAACTGTCAAAATATGACCATAAACTGTATTTAAAGATAGACTAATATGCTAATTAAAGCAAAGACTTCCAGGCTGGAATGCCTTGCTACATGTTATTAATATATCCGTCCTTGTGCCAAAGCAGTTCTAAAATATAAATTAAAGGTAAATATAAAAACAAATAAATCTACACCCAAGAGCTACAAAGTGAAAATGCTCTGGGCCCTAAAAAGTAAAAACGTGGCTTGACCAAGGTATCCCGGCTCCATTAGAGGGCCAAGTTGAAAGATGGAGTGGTTGGCAAATTGTGAAACATGGCCTTCCTTTCTTCCTGTTGTAATGGGAAGAACTGTAACTCAGCTTTCAAATCAGACACCCAGGGACAAAGTGAGAAGTCACAGATTTATTCTGGAGCCTGAAGGCAGTAGGCCTAGAGGAGTAATTGCCAAAGCCTGAACAACAATCAGCAGTCCTTTTCCAGTATATACAATTTAGCATTATTTCAGACACACTCTGGCAGTGGTGGGCGTGGGGGGGGTCACGAGTCATTCCAGCCTATGTGGCAATGGATCACGCACAGGGGTCTTCAACCTACAGGTCATAAAAGGGGCGAGGTTCCAGGACTTGGCTTTCCAAGAGGGGACACGTGTTTACAAAAACAGAAGCAAAAGTTAAACATACACTTGTTTTCTCTAGCTGGCAAGAAGACTGGTTTCCTAGGTAAACTAGGGATTTGTTTTCTTAGGCCAGCAGGGGCTGATAAGCAGGGGTTGTTTGCTGAACCTACCTGCTCTGGGTTTTTTCTCAATTAATTTTAGTTTTCTCTCTTAATTTTTTTCAGCTTTTCTCTTCACTGTCAAAGGTGTCCCAAAAGCAAGGTTAGAAGAGACAGAGGTGAAACACGGATAGAAAGGACCACTTCCTAGCTGCATGGCTTTGTACATGCGGCTTTGTGGATGTGAGCCACAGTTTCATCACCAATAAATTGGGGAGATGAGTTCGGGTGTGGGTTCGAGCTCCAAGTTTCCTGGTTTCCGGCTGTGTACGAAGTGTCGGTACGTAAATGCTGCATGAATGCAGTAAGTGCGTGTGTCACTGTGGCAGGGGATGGAAAGGGCCGGGTGAGAGCATAAAAGTAGTGCAGTCTAGCCGGGCGTGGTGGTGCACGTCTTTAATCCCAGCACTGGGGAGGCAGAGGCAGGCGGAACGCTGTGAGTTCAAGGCCAGCCTGGGCTACATAGCGAGTTCCAGGACAGCTGGGGCTACAGGGAGACCCTGTCTCAAAAAGAAAAAAAAAAAAAAAAAAAGTAGTACAGGCTCCAAAGCCGACCAGCTTAGAAATCACAACCCAGCCGCACTAGGAACACTGCAGGTGAACCTGAGCGGAGACTCCCGGGACCAGGAAGAGCGACTGCGTCTGCGCAGAGAGCTCTCCCCGCCCCTTCAACAGCGAGTGCTAGGGGGCGGGACTTGGAGGGCCGGACTGAGGAAGGGGCGTGGCCAGCGGCTCAGCCTCCGCCACTCTCTTCCGGGCTCCGCCAGCTGCGTGCGCATCCTCCCCCCTTCTTTTGTGGTTCGGCCCATTGCGAGGGTGACAGGAAACCCTGTGTAGGGAGCGCCGCCATCTTGGACCAGCCCGAGGAGGATCCTGAGGGAGCCGCGGGAGCAGTCGCTGCTGCCACCGCTACTGCCCCTGGCTCATCTGCAGTTCCAGGCCAGCCCGCCTTCCTGCCGGGGCCTCGGCCGACCGCACCCGGCCTCCTTCCCGCCGCCTCTGGACTCTGCTTCCTCGTCCTGACGCCCCCCTCCCGCCCGGAAAGCTGCCCAGCCACCAGCAACCCCCCAGGTAACCCCGGCGGCCTTTCCCCTGGCCGCCCAGCGCCGGCCTCCCAGCCCGGCCTTTCTGAGGGGCGGAGGCGGGCGGGTGGTGTCTGGCCGGGGCCGCAGGCCGCGGCGAGCCTGTGGGTCGGCCGAGGGCGCCGGCCTGACAGGACTCAGTGGTACCGGGGCGCTCGTGTGGGTCCGGGCCGGTGGTACTCCGCGGCCGCAGCCGGGCTCCGTGGAGGGCGGGAATGGTGGTGCTCCCGGGCGTCCACCTCTGCCCGCAGCTGCAGCGCACCCCCGCCGTCCTGCCCCCCACGAGCCCCGCGTGGCATTGCCGCCCCACAGGCCGCACCTTGGCGTCCTTGTCGTGGGCAGCCCGTGTGTAGCCGCGGATGGAGACACGGTCTGTGGGTCCCTACGGTAGCTCTGCACAGCATCTAGGAATAACGAAGAAAAAAGTTTGGGCATTTCTAGAATAGAAGACAAGGAGGTGGGCCGAGGCAGTGTCGAGGGTTTGCACTCCGCTGTGTGCCAAGCACGGGATTAGGTGTCTTCACACATACTTAGCTTGCTTTGAGTGGTCCTTTGAGGTGACTGGGGTGTTACCCATTTTTAGACGGGGGGAAACTGAGGCCCGATGCTGCCTCGTAGCTGGCTGATGATGGCACATTACAAACTGCCTTATTCCCGCACTGGCTGCTGCATTCCCCACACTACCTAACGTTAGACGAGAATTGAGACATAAACAGACATGCCCGGGTCGATTTCCTCTATTTGCGTTGAATGACAACGGATAAGACCCAAAGTCTGTCACGTCGGCTGCCGCTACATGCCAACTTCTCATTCCCCTCTTCAGAGGAGAGGTGGTGGTGAGTTTCCACTTTATTTGTGAAGAAAGGTGTGTGTACCTGCTGGTCTCAGGGCCCAGATTGAAACTCTTGGAAAGTTGGCTGTTCGTTGCGTTGCTGCTTCAACTCAGCTACCTTTTATATAAATGTGGTCATTGAGGACAAGTTTGACCCAGCAGTAATCCAGCTCCCCCTTTTCTCATCTTTCCACTATTTGTCTTGGGAGCTGTGTTTGGGTGATTTCACTTGGTCATGCCTGAAGGTGCTCGTGGGTTAAGGTTCTGGAATCTTGTCGTCTTGGAGTCCCACTCTGGTACTGCCATTTCCTATTACTTAATCGACCTTACAGCCCCAGACTCAGTGCCCTTATCTATAAAAGGGAATAATTGTTTTTACATTTCAGTTATTTCAGGGATTAAATAGGATTTAAAGAAAGCTGTTACTACATTGCTTGGCATGTAAGTGCCCCCGTGCCTACAATTTTGCTAGACTTGTACTGGTTGTTTAGTGTCAGTTGAAGGGAAGGAACATGACTTTGGAGCACTAGGGAAGTAGACGTTAATCCTAGCTGTCCGTTTCTTAGTATATAACCATTTGCATACCACTTCTGATCTGGTTTCCTGATTTGTAGAATGAGTTTTTAGGTAGGATTAGAGAACGTTTATAAAGTATTAGGCACTCAGTAAATAAAGTTATTGTAAAAATGTAAAAACCTTAGATCCTAATAGCTATTGAAAGTTCCTTGGAATTAAGGCTATTTAAAAATTTTCCCTGCTTTTTATTTTTCACTTGGTTTTATAATTGTATGCTTCAACTTTGCAACAGAATCTGGAATGTCCTTGCAGTGGATTTTTATAAGTAGTAATTGTGTTTGTATATATAATCTTAGTAAGATACGGAAGATAATATGTTAAAGATAGAGCTATTGGGGCTGGAGAGATAGCTCAGCTGTTAAGAGCACTGTCTGCTCTTATAGGGGACCGGGTTCAATTCCTAGCACCCAGAGGGTGGCTAACAACTGTCTGTAACTCCAGTTCCAGGGGATCTGATGACCGGTTTCCGGCCTCCACAAGGCATTGCCCAACACTGGTGCACTTATGTACATGCAGACAAAATACTCATACACATAAAATAAAATAAAATAAAAGACTAGAGCTGTTGATGCCTCATTAAAAAAACTTGAAACATTTTAATGTGATTAAAAATGTCAGCAGTGAAGGACTGGCAAGATGGCTCAGTGATAAGGGCACTAGCCACCAAAGCTGACAACTGAATTTAGCTTTGGAACTCGCATGGAAGGAGAGAACTGACTCCTGCAAGTTGTCACCTCCATGTGTGCACCCATGCATGCGCGCGCGCGCGCACGCACACACACACACACACACACACACACACACACACACAGTAAATAAATGGGAAAATGGTCTACCGTGGCGCAAAAGACACTTTACAACACTGGGCCTAGTGGTGCACACACTTAGGAGGCAGAGGCAGAGGCAGGAGGATGTCTGTGAGATTGAGGCCAGGTTGGGCTACATAGTGAGTTCCAAGCCAGCTGGGACTATAGAGAGACAGTGTCTCAAAAAGAGAGAGAGAGAGAGAGAGAGAGAGAGAGAGAGAGAGAGAGAGAGAGAGAGAGAAAGAAAGAGAGAAAGAAAGAAAGGGAGAGATAGTATTTTACCTTTTCCTTTTAACCTTTTTAATCCAGATCATTTTAAGCATTCAAAATGAAGCAATATATTGGGTATCAGTATAATGAGCATTCATATTACCCATCAACAGTGAAGATTCTTGCTCCCCATACATACAGTCATCCCACCTTCCTTAACTATGTTAAAGTCAATCTCTGATGCTTTTTACTCTAGCAGTAAGTGCAAGTTTCATTGGTTTTTTGTTAAGAACGTCTATGAAAAACGGTGCAGTATTAGGATATTTTCCCGTTCATAGCGTGCTATCATTAACTGGAAGAGTTTGCTCTTTCTTTTGAACATTAAGCAAACCGGGTGTTTGTTAATAGCACTGGCTGCTTTTGCAGAGGACCTGGGTTCCATTCCCAGCATCTACATGGTGGCTAACAATTGACCGTAACTCCAGTCCCAGGGGAATCCAGTGCCTTCTTTTGACTTCTGCAGGCACTGCATGACACAGATGCACTTACATACACACAGGCAATACAGTCATACATATAAAAGTAATAAAATATTTTTAAAAAGAAAAGTCGGTCTCAGAAATGGGCAGGTTATTTTCAGAGATTGTAGTACTGTTGTGGAAAGGAACTTGACCACTCATTTTTGTTAGACTGGTTATTAGATTAACTGTGAAAGTTTTATGTCCACCTGACTGACAAGCCAAGTAGCATTCCATTTTAGAGGGCCTCTGAGCAAGTCAGAATACTTCCATTCTTGAGCTCCATGAAGGTAGATATAATATTACCATTTTTTCCTTTGTCACTACTATATTGTCAGAACCTAGCATAGTGGTTTGTTCTTAGTAGATACTCAGTATTTTCATGTTGGAATCATAAAAGTTGGTCTTGGCTCCAGTGTTTTTAAACAAAATATATATAAAACAAAACTAAAACTAAGCAGTGAGATAAAGAAGGACTTTAGATAACCAACAATATTTAGTGGGTTGATTGTCCCCTGCTGTTGAATTAGTTATGTAAAAATTATGTAGTGATGTAAAGAATAGACTAAAATAGTTGTAGAACAGTATGAGTAATATAATGCATAAACAGACACAGTGAGGAGTTAAACGATAAAAAGTCTGAGAAAATGCCCTTCATTATTGGGTGTTTTTTTTTTTGTTTTTTTTTTTCTGAGACCAATCCCATGACTGGTTTCATATGATGTCTCATGTTATCAGTAATTGCAGAAATAATGTTGGAATGTTGAGCATTTTTATTTTCAGTTGTTAATCTGTTTGTGAAAAGTATATGTAAAATGCTTTTTGATTAAAATATTTGTTTTCTATACTTTATGTATTTCAGAACATACTACCAAGTGAATACAGTACATGCTCCAGTGTTAGTGCAGAAATAAAGTTCATAATTTCCCTCTGCCTTAAGAAGCTTATCTATTTTTGTAACAGTTTGGTGTGCATCCTTCCATATTTTGTGCATCTAAGACTTGAATGTATTATGTGTTTGAACATGACGAATGCATGACTTATGTTACAACCTTTTTCACTTACCAAAATCATGCATATATTTCTAATATAATAAATATATGTAGACATAGATTTTTTTAAAAAAACTATGCTTATTGCTTCATAGTACAGATATACTTTACCTTTATTCAGATACTGAGTATCTACTGAGCACAAACCGTTATGCTAGGTTTTGACAATATAATAATGATCAAAAAGCAGATAACATTGTCTCTGCCGCCATAGAACTAAAGAATGGAACCATTTCCTTGTTAATGGGAATGTAGACATCTTAGTTTTTGACTGTAAAAATGGTTTATTAAATGCGCTTATACACTTGTGGTCTTATGGACTGTAGCTTTAGTTTCTGTAGACCATTTCCAAGTGAATTTCTTTTCTTTCTTTTTTTTTTTTTTTTTTTGTGTTTCTGAGACAGGGTTTCCCTGTAGCCCCAGCTGGCTTGGATCTCACTATGTAGATCAGGCTGGCCTTGAACTCACAGAGATCTGCCTGCCTCTGCCTCCCAAATGCTGGGACTAAAGGCATGCACCACCA